CCATATAGTGCTAAGCGATGACTACACTTACGAGGAACGACCTGTTCAGATTGTAAACAGACGGATCAAAAAGTTGAGAAACAAAGAGATTCCGTTAGTGAAAGTTGACTGGCAGAACCATGGTGGCGTGTATGCCACTTGGGAAAGGGAAGATGACATGGCCAAGAGATATCTTGACTTGTTTCCACTAAATCCTGTTTTCTTCCAGAATGAAGGTAATTCGAGTTTGGAGGACCAAACTCTTTTTAAGGAGGGAAGACTGCAATAACCCTCACCACTGATTGCTGATAACCCTACTGATTACTGCTAAACTGAGACTGATTATGATAATTGACTGAATTAACTGAAATCACTAAACTGATTGATTAATTGTACTAGTTTGAATGCATATCTACCTGTTGACTATTAAACTATCTGTTCATGCTTTTTTACTTTAAACTGCAAATTGAAGGCCTTATCGGCGGCCGAATCTGAAATTGATTAGTGATATGCGTTAATCATAATTTATGTGATTTTATGGTATATTTATTTGAAATGTGGTTTGGTATGGTTAAATTAGATCAAATATTGATAAAATGCACCACTTGGACTTATTTACTATCTTGCCACTTAGTGGCCCATTACATGGAACATTTGGAGCCTTTGATACGCATCATTCTTGTTCATCTTAGAGAGGGGCCAAACCGTAGGAGATAAGTGAGAGAGGGAGAACTTGGCTTCAATTGAGAATTGGCTAGAGAACTTGAAGAAATTGTAGAGGATTTGTGCAAATTGAGTTTCTACACTTGAATACAAGACTTAAGGTAGAGTAATTACCTTCTTGATTGTGTATTTGAGTTGATTCTTGCATGGTTCATGAGCCTCTAGTGATTTAAGCCTAGAATTGGTCCTTTTATGTTGAATTGAAGCTCATTCCATGCATACATGCTTATATCCTAGTATTTTGAGGTTGACTACATGGAATTTGGTACATGCATGTTCATATTATTGGTATAGTCCATGATTCCATCATGTTTTGGAAAGAATTGGCTCAATTGAGCTAGCTTTTGAAGCTTTGAAGTTGTTGAATTCATGCATATTACACATTCATCATGTTCTTGAAATGTTGGTTGAAATTGGGTTTAATTCCCTCACCTTTGGGGCTTGATTTTACAAATTGAGTTTTGAATCATGTCATACTATGCATTTACTAGTGTTTTCCAGGAAATGGGCCCAAAGGAATCGAATTTGTTACATTTGAAGTTGAATTTGAGCTTGAGATTCAAATTTGGGAATTTCAGATTTTGAACTCACGCTTGAGCGGGGTGACTGGCGCTCGAGCGTGAAATTCGTGCTCCCAGCACTTTGCATTGTTTTACAGTTCGCTTGAGCGAGGTATTGGACGCTCGAGCGAGGACTTGTGTCACACACTCGAGCAGGTGTCGAGCGCCCAATCAAGCGTGATTTTCACACATCTAGTACTTTTTCAGTACGCTTGAGCGTGAAAGTTTACGCTCGAGCGGAGTCTTTTGTTTGCACGTCCGCTCGAGCGGGGAATCCCACGCTCGAGCGAGACCCCTGCTTTCTGAAAATTCTGAAAATGTTTGTAAAGTGCATCTTTGCATCCTCATTCCATTCTATGCATTCCTAGGCCTAGTTTAAGGTATCTTAATGAGGATATAGATGTAGAACCACACCAAGGCAAATTAGGGATTAAGTTACTATTTTCCCATCTGTATAGCTTAGTGTGTGTTCACTCTGTAACTGTGTAGGGTTGGCATCTGAGGACGCACTCTAGTTTAACTGTAGCCCAGAACTCTGTGAGTAACAACCGTATAAAGGTATGTTCAAATATGATTATCTTCTGAACAATTGAACTGTACTGTTTTCTGAAATGATACTGTTACTGAATGAATGATGTCCTAATTGTGAACTCTATTGTGGCATCCTTAGCAACCTACTGTTACTGTGTTGTACTGCTATTGTCACATAGATCTCTGTCGGTTCTCACGTTGGAACCGGTACTGTTTACTGATATGATGGCCATCAACTGACTGTTCGGTCTGATAAGACCTACCGTACTATTTTGCTACTGGATATACCCCATATGACTGTAATGACTGAATAACTGACATATTGATTGAAATGATTGTTTTCAATACTGTAAGGACATTCATTTTTAACCTCTTTACGCATTATGTTATTCACTGGGTTTTAGCTCACTGCTCATATATATGTAGGTGTACAGGCACCGGACCGTTGCTAGAAGCGTCGGGGTAAACTCCAGTTTTGTTAAGCCAACCACTGTGCCTCACTGCGCGGTTCCGAGCCTGTAAAGCCAGGGCTTTTGGGGTGTTTTAGTTTTCCCCCTTTTTGTATCTGCTATGTAACTACTGCTTAGACTAAATGTTTTTGTACTGTACTGTTTAATAGGGATTAAGTCCCTGTGCTGAATGATTGTATACATTGTACATACTGTCTTGGTACTGATTGTATATAGATATATATGAAAAGTCTTTTTGCATACAGACTGTCACAGCTCATTGGACATTGTCTATTTACTGTTTTGGCTTCCGCCATGCCCCTGTACTTTGTATTATTGTCTGACTATTAAGCAGGCCTTCGGTAATCTCGGATTTCTGGCCGGTTACGGTACTAAACCCATAGGGGCTGGTTTGGGTCGTGACAGTACTTTTATAGGATTTAAAAGGGTTGGCTCGAGCAGCAGAACCTGCACTTGAGCCACCACCCTTATTTTTGATCTTCAGTTCGAGCGTAGAAAGTTGCGCTCGAGCGTAAAATGAGAGCTCTTAAAAGCTTCAGAAAGTTTTGCAGACCGCTCGAGCGACTAAAATTATGCTCAAGCGAAGACCCTGTTTTCAGAAATTTGACTAAGTATTTCAAAGTACATTTTGGTATCCTCATTGCATCGTAGGCATTCCTAAGCTTTAATTAAGCCATAATGGTGATGATATGAATTTGAAACACACTAAGAAAAGAATGTACTAAGTTAAGAGATTACAAGTGTGTGTTTCAAGCATGTGATGTGATAAGAAAGAACAAGAATCATGAAAAGAAAGCTAAGCCGTAATGGCCAAGTGCATGTGTAATGATAAGATATGTTTGTGTTATATACTTTTGTGTTTGTAGGTCAACGTTCGAAGATTGATTGACCATTTTCGGAAGTCCACTGTGAATAGCGTTATTGTAAAGATATGTTCATATGAATTATGTTTTGAATGTGATTTGATAAGTTATGATTTCTGAAATGATGTTTGTTTACGTGAACGAATGTCCTATGTTTGAAATCTATTATGGCATCTATAGATAGTCCGAAATCATGGGGGACGACATGCTAATGCGGGTCCATGACATATATGTGATTACGAGATCTCGTTAGCCACTTCGATGTGGTGATATGTGTTTAATCGATATCCAGAACCAATTACTCTAGTCGGATGACGATGTGATGTGTTCTGTGAGATGTACAATTATTATGTTCGGATATGAGAATTGATTCTGTTATGATTTGTTTTATAGATATGATATGTTATGAATTCGTTTACTAACCTCTTTACGTTAATGTTATTCACTTGGCTTTAGCTCATTGTTTGTATATGTATATATAGGTCAATGTGTGCCGAACCAGGCCTAAGGGCTTCTGTCTAACTTCGTTTTGTCAAGCCAACCATTGTGCCTTACGTGGAGGTTCTTGAAGTGTCGTGTGTTATAAGCTCCAGTTGTTTCTGTATATAAGACATCAAAGTTTTCGTTGGCTGTACTTAAGATACTATAGTTATGTGTGTGGGTATAACGTGTGATATATTTCTGGATATGTATATGTAGCTTTAAATATTCTGTTTTATATAAGTCAGCACAGCTCATTGAACGAATTTATTTTTGATATTTGCTTCCGTTTGCCTCTTATTCTGTAATTCTGCTTTAGAGGCCTTCGGTAATTCCAGTATTACTAGTCGGTTACGACACTAAGCCTATAGGGGCAGGTATGGGTTGTGAGAAGAGGCAATTGATCGAAGAGAAGAGAAGAAAAGAAAAGAGAGAGAGAGAGAGAGATAAGGATTTTAGCGTGTAAAATGAGGGGATAATGTTAGAGATACAAAATTTTCTACTAAATAAATGATCAAATGTCTTACATGGATATAAGGGTCTCAATTTTGTGACCCACACCCATGTGACATTTGTTTGGTAAAAAATTTAGGACCTATAACATTTTCCAAAATGAGGAATTTGTCCCGTATAACGTATATATATACCTGGATAGTTTGGTCATTTTACATACGCGTGTCCTTATGAATAAATTATTTTAATACCTGGATTTTTAACCAAACAAAATTCATTTTTGGGTTTATGAGCCGTGTCTACAATTAAAAAATAGAAATTAAAGTGATATTCTAAATCAAATTATATAGATTAAAAGTGTAATTATCCTGATTTTTTATTTTATTTTTTGTTTTTTCATTTTTAGACATTGCTAACCATTTCACTAGTGGAAACCTTTTTCACACATTGCTTTTTGTGGTTGACAATTATCTTTGGCTGCTATCTTTAACCGTCGATAATTACCTTTCATAAGTCACTATTTTTTAAATAAAATTTTAAAATACATATATACTAAACATATTTTATGTAAATTAAAAATAACAAATAATAATTGTTTGTAGTGTGCTTTGCCATTTGTATGAGATATTGGGGCCTAATTTGAAACATTATTTCAATTTGTGCCACTATTCATCTGTCGGTGTAACTTTTGCATAGCATGCTCATCAATTCATGTAAAGTTCTAACCAGTCATGTCCTCCCCCAAAAATATTATTATTATTTTCCATTATTTTAATATAACATAGATAAAATCAACAAACAACCCCGTAGGCCGGGTGCGCAATACGCTCACCCCAATCTTCACCGTCCACGTAATATTACTTCGCACGTGTACGCATCTCATTACCTCAACAAAACACCCCGCGCGCACTTTAGCAACATCCGTTGCCCCAGTACTTCAATCATCAGCTTCATCACAGCCATTGACGAACCTCAGATTGAGAAATTGAAGAGAGATAGAGAGAGAGAGAGAGTGAGTGAGTTTTAGAGAGAGAAAGTGTGTGTTTTGAGGAGAGAGAAAGAGTGTGGCGTGAGTTTGGATTTCAGTGCTGTTTGCTTCTAATGATGATGTGAAAAAAGGTGAGAAATCTATCCCCATTTTCGTTCAAAATCCCTAAAAAAGCTATATAGAATTACAGATCTGTATATTTGTACTTGTTTCACTGTTCTCTGCTCTCTGTGTTTTTGATAATTTTTTTTTCCTGTAATTGTTGGCATTGTTTGATTTGTGCTTTGATGATTGTTTGCTAATTTGTTGAATTATTTTGCATAGAATAATTCTATATCGAATTTTTGATATATATATATATATATTTTGTCTGTATTGTTTGATTTTGTGCTTTGATTGTTTGCTGAAATTTGGAATTATTTTGCATTTCTACTAGGAATTAGGGTTTTTGTGAGGCATTGGATTTTTGAAAAATGTTGGGTCGGAATCCACTATTGCGGACCGGAAGTTTTCGGCCGGAGAACCTAGGTCAAAATGCTCTTGCAATGATTACCAACCTTGGTTTCACAATTTTCGTGGTTGGGGTTTTGATTTTCACCATTATTGCGGCTACTTATGAACCAGAGGACCCTTTGTTTCATCCTTCAACCCAGATCACAACTTTTCTCACATCCACATCGAATGCCACTTTTAAATCCGATAACACTGTTGTTAAGACCGGCGAGGATTTTATGGCTGCGAATCAGACTGCATTTGCCACTTTTATTAATATTACTGATGTTGATAATGATGTGCCTGCCACCGCCAGTGTTGAATGTGAGGTTGATAAACCCATCGACTGTACAGACCAGGAGATTTTTCATGTGATGATGAAGGCCGCGATAGAACATTTTAAGGATATACATTTTTACCGGTTTGGTAAAGCTGTTGCTGGATTGAATGATAGTTCTTGCCACATGGCATGGCGGTTTAGACCCAAGGAAGGAAAGACTGCAGCTTTTTATAAGGACTATCGGAGTTTTGTGATTTCCAGATCCGAGAATTGCACTCTGAGTGTTATTGGGATTGGAGGATACCATTCTGGAGGGAATGCGAGGAAGAAGAAGAAGAATCAGAAACCAGGGTTTGAGAAGAAGCCTAAAAAGCGAGATCTGAACCCGGTTTCTCTGCCAGAAGTTGGGGAAATTGTCAATGATGCTCTGCCTGTGGTTGAATCAGAGGGTTCATTTAGCCGGGGGCGGTACTTGATTTATGTTGGAAGTGGGGATAGATGCAAGCCCATGAATCATTACCTGTGGAGTTTCATGTGTGCTTTGGGTGAAGCTCAGTACTTGAATAGGACACTTATTATGGATTTGAGTATTTGTCTCTCTTCAATTTACACCTCATCACATCAAGACGAAGAGTCGAAGGATTTCAGGTTTTACTTTGACTTTGAGCATCTAAAAGAGTCAGCTTCCGTGTTGGACCAGGCTCAATTTTGGACTGATTGGAATAAATGGAACCAGAAAGATGGATTGAACCTCCATCTTGTTGAGGATTTTAGGGTCACTCCCATGAAGCTATCTGAGGTTAAGGATACTTTGATTATGAGGAAATTTGGTTCCGTGGAGCCAGATAATTACTGGTACAGGGTGTGTGAAGGTGAGACAGAGTCGGTTGTGCAACGACCTTGGCATCTGGTATGGAAGTCTAAGCGGTTGATGGACATAGTGTCTGCAATTGCATCGAGGTTGAATTGGGATTTTGACTCTATTAACATTGTGAGAGGAGAGAAGGCTAGGAACAAGGAGCTCTGGCCTAGACTTGATGCAGATACTTCACCTGAAGCTCTGATCTCGACCTTGCAGGACAAAATTGAAGATGGAAGGAATCTTTACATTGCCACTAATGAACTGGACACATCATTCTTTGACCCTTTGAAAGACAAGTATTCCACTCATTTTCTTGACGAATATAAAGATCTCTGGGATGAGAACAGTGAATGGTATTCAGAAACAACAAAGCTTAATAATGGGGTTCCCGTTGAATTTGATGGTTACATGAGGGTCTCCGTTGATACGGAAGTGTTCTTGAGGGGGAAAAAGCAGATTGAGACTTTCAATGATCTCACTAAAGATTGCAAGGATGGTATTAACACCTGCAGCTCGGCCAGCTAATTCCTATACTTAAGGTTGAAACATTCTTGCTGCTAAATTTGGGAATTTCCACTTGTATCTTTAGTTTTATTTGTCTGCTTTATATAAATTTTGGTATTAATTTGTAGTTTGGAATTTAAGTAGCATTCCTATGTGCCCTGTAATTCTAGACAAACAATCGTCAATGTTCTGTTACTTGGTTTTCTATTGAAGTTATAGCTGCATGTCAATTTTCTGTTTGATTTTACTCTCATGTACCCAGTCATATGATATTAAATGAAGATGAAGTTTGTTCTGATATTCTTAGTTATTCATGTTTTCTTTGAAGTTTTGGATTTATTTTAGTCTAAATTATCTTTTGTGGAGCTTGATCACTGTTGTTTCTGCCTGTGAGCTTCATGAGAAATTTAGGTGAAAGAGTTTTCCTCTGGGTCTGTAAACCGTTTGGATTTGTTTTGATCTGGATTCCACATAATTATTGATATTATTCCAATCTTAGCCAAAAGTTCTAGCTGGATAAATCCAAAAACTTGATAATTATTGAAACTTTTAAGAGTATTGTTTGGTGCAAGAATGATGAATTTCAAACGATATAATAAGAACTTAACAAAATAATAGTCTATACTCGGAAGACTCATTTGGTACTGTGCCATACAAAATCCAGCTTATAGGTCGCTCTCTCCATGGCTTGAACTGCAAAGTCGTAGCCCATCCATAGTGGCCAACTCTGATACCAAATGAAACAACCCTTTTCTGACCATTGTAGGATCGTAACATGCCTGTTTTCTGTATGCTCTCCAGTTGATGGAATGTTGTATTTTATTTATTGTTCTGTTGTAAATGGTAATTCAATTCGTCATCTTGGTGCTTTTTCCTGTTGACAAATGTGGAATAGGTGGAGAATGGAAGTTATACCACCTCAGTGGCACCTCTCTCTCTCTCTCTCTCAATATTTGCTGCATATGCATATGCTAGCACATGGTCTCTGTGAATTTCTTAAATACTCTTTAACAGGTTTCAGATGGTAACTTTACCTGTTTACTTTTCTTTGATGGCTAAGCACAGTTTATAATGAAGTTGACTTCAGATTGTTTTGGGAACATTGGTGATCATCATTATATTGAATAAGTGCAGGAGAGGAAGTGCATGGAAATTACAGGTCTCCATTGAGTTTCACACTGCACTAGTAGGAGGCTGTGAAAAAATGGGTTGTGCAGTGAAACAAAATGAACGTAAAATGTTCCATTTCCCATTTGTCTTCTACACCTCTGGCTGAATATTATTCTGTAGTTGTGGTTTGTGCAAGCGGTGCTCTAATTAATGAGGTTGCACAAAAGAGAGTGAATGAAATCGATTTTTTCTTCTACCTAGCTAACCAAGGTGGGCTAGATTTTGTATGTATGTATTCATATATCTATATGCCCCAAGCGTGCCGTGTAGTGCAGTATATTGTAGAGCAGAGCAGGGTTTGTTTCTTGTGAAGTATAGCTTTCTCGTCCCTCCAATCATGGAATTGGAATCAAATTACAAAATTTCCCGCACTGCCAGCTTCATCTGAAGCAGAAAGCTTGGCTCTTAAGAGGAAGTTCGCGGCAGCAATGTTCAAAGGCGATCAGAAAGCGATGATGTGACAGTGGGGATTAACTCGGATAGTCCATCGGCATCGGCATCGGATGTTAGCTATTCGAGTCTCCAAATGATGCCTCAGATGAATGTGAATTCGAATTTGTTCCAACCCGTAGCAAGAGATTCATGATAAAAATTATAGTCTGAGTCTGAATCTGAGTCCAGTAACTCAGCCGAGTCATAGCCATGCCAATCTCGAACCAGGCTTGGAGATTTTCAGATCTGGAAAAGTGTAAAAGGAAGAGAAGGTGAAAATGTGTGTGTGTGTGTGTGTGTGTGTGAGAGAGAGAGAGAGAGAGAGAGAGAGAGAGAGAGAATGAGTTTTAAAATCCAGAACTCATAATATTTTTAGTTTTAAAATTAGAAAAAACTGATAATGTTCACAGTTTTATTGGATAGTCGAATCAAATCAAAGAGTAGAAAGGCAAAAATAATCTCATGCTCTATATTTTTTTTCCCCCTCGGTTAGCAAAACAACTATGTTGAACATTGCTGTGTAAAACTGATAATATTCTCAGTTTAAAAATGAAAAAAATTAATAATATTCTATGTTTTACTAACACAAGGGCAAAAACAACATTATATCTGAAAATAGGACTTAATAATTCAAAAAAATTTAGACAGGACTTGAGTTACCATGGTATTTGTGAATAGAACTTTTAAGTAATTAATTAATTGATTTTTTTTAATTTTTAAATTTGTCATTTTGGAATTCTCATTATGACCCTTTTAGTCTTAAATTTAGAATTAGGTACCTAATTTTTGTAATTAATCCTCAAGTTCAGAACTTTTAGTGCTTAAAAACAAATTTCATTGATTGGTGTTAACACAAAAATAAAGCTGAGTAACATGAATTCTTGTATCAAAATTATCTATATGTTTAGATATGTTTAAACTATTATCATTAGTTATTGTTTGGAGGAAAAAATATAAGAAAAATCACATCTCAAAATAATTCAGTTTCTCATGCTCTCTAAACCACCCCACCCGCTAGGTGTTTTTATATGCATTGTGTATGTGTATGTCTGTTAGTACATACTATAGATATGCATATGTTTTCTGTAATGCTAAATTCGGGCTCGACAGCTTGATTATATGTGCAATTCATTACAACGTGGCGTTAGATGATTTGTCGATGAGAGAGAAGTATAGAAATATTCATTAAAATTGAAGACTAATTATGGGATTACACAAAACATCTGGAAATGCCATTGGATGTGTTCACTTTCTAATAAAAGTATGTCCAAATTTTTGTGGTGCAAAATCAAGGATTCAACATTACCTTAGCCTTGTACAGATCAGTAACAACCTCCTTTGGGCATTTCTCAAACAAACAACAACATATCAAGTTCCTTAAAATTTTCTTTAATAATTCTCTTTCTCTCTGTGTCTCTCTCTAAAATTTTATTTCAGACAGAAAGAGAAATCTTAGAAAACTGGAAGCCGGCGTCAGCAATCACGACGCAAGGTAATGTGTCTCGATTTATACTATTTTTTTTTTTATTGTTGATTTGCTTGATCCATTCGATCGTCAAGAATATTGTATATGAAAATATTGTTTAATAAGAAAATTCAAACGATTTACTTTTCCATTAAAGAAAGTTTATATCTAAAAACAATGTGAACACTGAAATGATGCATAATTCTTACTTTTTCCAAGAAATTATTTGAAGAAAATTATTTTGTTCAAGAAAATAGTTATGGTGGTAACACATTTTTGTTTTTGTTTTTGTTTTTGTTTTTGTTTTTGTTTTTACAACAACAAAAAAAAAATATTATTTTTATTTTCTTTTCATTTACCATGTAGAGGTGCCAAGGTTGATCCGTTTATTATTGTCATTATTGCTAAACTTATATGGTGTCTTGTGTTGATGATTTAAAATGTTTTCTTTGGCGAATTGGATTAGAACTAATGATACCAATTATTATTATTATTTTTGCACGTAATTATATATGAGCATTCTTGAAAGCATTTGAAGTTTTTATGTTTTTGGTTCAGGACTTTATAATTTTCCAAATCCAATTGTAATTCATTTTCATGGGTTTATTTTCTTTTTGTTCTTTTGTCAGTTGATAAGAGATGAATTATAAATATTATGATAATTCTACCAAATTGGACATTTAACTATAGAAGAAAATCCAACATATTTATGTTTTTTTTTTTTTTTTGTCTTTCAGTAAAAAACAAATAATAAATAAAATTTATATACTTAATTGCTTCACATTTATAGGTACATCTAGATTATATGAATTCAAAAAGTCACAAACAAATTTAACTAATATATGGAAAAGATTATTTAAAAAAATTTAAAAATCAAATCAAACCAATGTGTCTAACATCTGTGCTACTACTTAGTGGAAACACCCCCCCCCCCAATGAAAAGAGAGAAGAGTGAAAAAAGAAAAAGAAATAAGAATATTTTTCTGAGATTACAGCAAGTCACACATATATGCTCTTTGGCTAGTTAAGGAGTGTCAATAGGGACACAATGATTTCTATATTATGTTATTATAGATTTTTAAATAGTTTTATTTTAATAATAATATCTTGCAAGAATTTGAATTTCTTAAACTACTTTTGTAATTTAGTGGAGCAATCCTCTAGCTAGCTACCATTTTTGTGTTCAAAAGTGCAATAACTAATCATATCTATCTATCTACTAGTCCACTAAGCATTCATTCACCACCACTTGGCTTTGTTGTTTTCAAGCGCATTTTCAAGGTCAACTCTGAGAGTCCTTAATTTAATCATTGTAAGATATGCACTATTATTATTATTAGTATATATATATATATATTTTGATTGAAGAACAATTCCAGTCATTGATATTTTAATAATATTATAAATGCATAAATTTTTTATAGGAAGGTGCAAAAAATGTATGACAAGACTAACTATTTTGAGCATTATGTATTGGGACATTTATCAATTAATCTTATTAATTAGACTTATTTAATGGGTCATAAGTCTTAAAAGTAAGACATTGATAATTTATCCTTATATATTTTGTAAATCTTTTTGTGAAAGAACAAATAAAACTGTTCCAGTTCTTATGACTCTTATATGAAAAGTTGTAGGTTTGAATTTCAAGAGTTGAATTAATGATTAAAAGTTTCATTTTCTATTGCCTCTTAAAGTCACTATAGGGCTTAGATTAGACTTGATAATTATCTAGTATATGTAGAATAGGAGACTACATAGAAGCCCCCAAAAAATAAAAATAAAACTTTGTGAGAAAAAATCATACTGAAACTTGACATGTATTAGCAACTGCAATTTCATGAAACCTTCATCATCATCAATTTAGGCAAATTACATTTCACCGCCCTCAGTTATGAGCATTGTTACTTGATCCCCCTTGACTAAAAATTGCTACGTCTGACGTCCTTAATCTTTTGATTTGTTTCAATTTCAATCTTTAGTCAACATTTTGTTATGAAAGATGATGAACGAAATGACCCATAGTTGAGGGCCTGAAGTATAATTTGCCCTTTGATTTACTATTTGCTTGATCAACATCTAATGTTAGTTTTGCCTCAACTTATTTTGGATTTAAGGATGGAAAAATTTCCTGAGAAACAAAACATAGTTATGGCACATATAAATTTAGAGGAGGTGAAGAACTCGGCAACATTCGGATCTGCATCGACCCCATCGTCTCCCATCACTTTCCAAAAGTCTTCAAGTGTAAAATACAACTGCCTCTGCTCCCCAACCACTCATGCTGGTTCTTTTCGTTGCCGGTATCACAGAAACCCTGGCATGGCTCGTAGCAGTGTCTCTGTTGGCGGTAAGCTCAACGAGTTGGGTTCTGTCAGCTCTAACCTCTCTGATATGGAGAGCAAACCGCCCAGAATTTGCGATCAACTCCATGCTCATTGAGCTATCTTCTTTATTGCTTGGGACGAAACTAGGTTATAATGGTCCATGGTGGTTGAATTTGTTTTGCTTCTCTTAGTATCTGAGAGCTTGATCTGAAATTGCTTATTTATTAACTCATCTCTTTTGTTTTTCATTATTTTCTTCACGTGTTGATGGTGTAGTACTTCAATAATATATGATGATGTTTGTTCCGTCTTGTGCTTGTTAAATTTATTTTTGCATTAGTGATCATTGAAGCGCATCTAAAACACTCCCTTAGAACGTAATTTGCCCTCACTCCAACGAGTTGCAGGCAAAGTCGTCCCTAGGATACAACAAAGCTAATTTGAGTGAAGAACTGCAATTAGCAAAATTGAAGGACTTCTATGAAATTCTAATCTTGTAACATTACAACAAGAAAGGCAATTGCACAATAAAAACTTGCAGTGTAACAATCAAGCAAGGAATCTAGCTCCGTCACCGCCTCAAAAGCTGCAAAAGACTTTACAATGTGAAGCAATAAGGAGGTGTTTTGAGATCGAGATTAGATGCAAAGTTGAACTAGGTGGTTACAGCTAAGATTGACAGTGGCAGAGCTATGTACTACATGAATACACCTTTTGTGTTGAGTTTCAGATGGTTTGTTGGAGTCTTGAAGATTTGTCTGTTACTGCTTGTCTATATCCTTCAATGGTATAATATAGGGTGAAAATTATCAATTCATCACAAGAATTCATCTGGTTTCTATGAATACTAGATTTTTTTTTTTAAAAAAAAGAAAAAAAAGAAAAGGGTTTTTATCTGTATATCAAGCACATGAAAAGAACGTCTCATTCACCAGACTAGGTAGAAGTTTAAACATGTCAAGCACCAAGGAGAGTTATTATATGATCTGCCATCCACTCAAAATAGCAGGGAAAACAGAGCACCATGGTGAGTTAAACAGATGTATAGCATCTTACAAGATAATTCAATCTCATGGATTGATTTTGACCAAATATTTAAGTGCGATTCAAATTATATTTGTGCAGTTTTACTGTGAAATTACTGAAAAGGACCTATCCTTTTCATTAGGTTCCCACTAAGGACATGAATTTGGCATTACTCACTAGTGGAGAGCATATAAGGATGTAGGCACTCAAAAATGACCCAAGGTTTGTACCAAACAAATTTACTCAAAGGTTGTGTTTGGATTTTCAATTTGAAGAAAAAAATAAAAAACAAAACTCTATATTTTATTTCTTTTCCAATCTTTTTTCATTTCTATTTCTTATACAACCACAAAATCAAGAACCAAACACAGCTTAAATGCACTTAACAAAGAGAATTCTTTTCATAAAGCCTAAGCTCAAGATGCATAGAACATCATAAACCTCACAAAATATGTACAACAAATTTTGGTCACTGAGGCAGAAGTCACTATAGCAATCACACACAATACTGGCTCATAAACACTGGTCCAAATCCTAGCCAGCTAATGTATGCATTCATGTAAAACTCTTTGTACACTACTACTACACTATACACTAACTTTTAACTTCCTCAAAGAGCATTCATTCATTTCTGAACTACTCACATTGGAGCTGTATCTTCTTCTTCCTCCTCCTCTTCCTGGGGCAACATCCGAGTCCTGCAAAGTGGGCACGTTACGTTCCGGTACTTCAACCACTTTTCCAAGCACATTTTATGGAAGACATGGCCACAAGGAAGGTGATTTATCTCTGCATCGGGCTCAAAATCTGTCAGGCAAACCGAGCACTCTTGTTCGGGTAGTAGTAGGCCTTCGCACACGGACTCGAACCGAACTGCAGGGGTCTGCCTACGGAACTCTTCCATGTAGGTCTCTGAGGGGCTTCCGCGGCATTCACAGACATCTGAAGGGTTTTCGACGGAATATTCTTCAAATGCTGCGATCCGGATGCCCATGGCGTGGAGGATGAAAAAGAGTATGTCTTTGACGACGGAGAAGGATATGGCGGTGTTTACTAGAATAATGCATAGCACTCCTCCGTCGGATGGAGTCGAATACGGTGAGAGGCCCATCTTTTGATTGGAAACCTGAATATAAGAAATGAAAGAGATAAATTAACTCTCTAACCCAAATGAAATAAAGACTAAAGAGAAAAGTTAAGAGAAAATTGACACAACACCAGAGAAATTTTAAGAGAACTCTGTTGATTGAACCGATATGATTTAAGAAGATACAGGATCTTTAAGAATTTGTTAGAATGTTGAAATGAAAATGGCAATATTCAAAGAACTGTTTTCATTATCTCTTTTTTTTTTTTTTAAAAAAAAAGAAGCCAACTCTTTTTCCTTGAACAAAAAAGAGATGCTTCTGGGTTTTCCTTTTTTCCTTTCCCTTTTGCTTTTCCCTTTTTTTTCTTTTTTCTTTTTCTCTTTCATTTCCAAGTCAGAAAAGCAAAATGACAGAAAACAGCATATTCCCTTCGTTTCCCGCAGAATTCATGAGGAAAGCTAAAAATTGGTTCATGAAAAAAGAAAACATGTTTCTTAGAGAAGAGACCTAGTAGCAATTCATTTTGGGTCACAAAAGGATATATTCTACAAGTCCTATATACATCAGGAAAAAAAAAGATGATTTTTCACATGTATTTTCTTTTCTTTTTGTCAAAAGGCAATAATAAACTAGATAAAGGGGTAACATAAAACCCTCCCTTTTCCCTATTCATAACTCCCCCAACTTACAAAGGCAAGATTCAATCCCAAAAAGACTTCACCACCTAAAGTAGGAGAACACTTTTTTCAAAATGCACTGGACTTTGTGACACGGGGGTATTTAACTGCCTCTTTGTGACACAAATGTGATGACCACTAAGATTGCACCTATAATCAAACATTACAGAATACATATTATGTATATAATAGCAGTGGGTGCGATCACGATATATTTGCAATTTTACAGCAATTCGAAATAAAGATGGGTTAGATTTGAAAAACTATTTAGCATTTATTTTATGGGCATTATTAGAAAAGAAAATAGCATTACAAAGCTTCAAACCATCTGTGAAAGTTTTGGAAACTACCTATCAAGTTTATCTTTTAACACTTCAAAAAAATATGAAAAAACTCATTTGAACTGCAAAAAAATAACTTTTAAGAGACAATTAGAATAGTAAAAGATGTTACATAGGTTCATATTTGAGTTCACAGCAACTGATAGATATGTATATGTACATAGAAATCTACAAGTCTTGGTTCATTAGGACTTTTTTGGTCACATCCTTAAGTCTCTTGCTCAAGGAGCTTTGCGATAAGTGAGTTCCTATTAAAGTTACTCATCTAAGGAGGTTGGATACTCATCTAAAAACTGCCTCGAATTGTGGAAATTGAAGGGGTTTGATCATATCTTATTGAACCAATCTGTCTCTATATTTATCAATATATACACATACATACAAACAAATACAAATATCACACACACACACACATATATATATATATATATGTGCGGAAAATCCCGATGTGGGATTTCCCGCACAATATATATATGAGGAGCAAGTGAAAGTAAGCAATAAAGAGAGCAAATCCAATTATCCAAAACCCAGTAAAGGTAATATTTGATTCCATATTGAAAAAAAAGATTTCCAAATAAGAGCATCTCCAATCTTTCAAATTTGATGAAAAAGTTGATAAAAGTGTGTGCTCTCACCATTTCATCAAATCAAGGCAGAGGCAATTTTTGTCACCAAATCCTTCACCCTATTTCCAACGGCAATAGTTTTACTCAAATTTGAAGAAATTTAAAAAATAGCAAGGATTGGAGATGGTTTTCTTTCCTAAAAAATGGTTAAAACAAAATTTTAGAATGACTTTGGAATTTTTAAAAATATTTGATGATATAAAAAAAAAAAAAAAAGGAAAAAAAGAGACTGAGTAAAGTTTGGGGTGTTCCACATCAAATCAAGGTTATAACCAAATTTTCACTCAAATTTGAAGGAAAAAGAAAAAGAAAGAGAGAGCAAGGATTGGAGATGGTCTAATATGATGCATAACATTTCAGAGAATTCAATCTCAATAAATGGTTCAGCCACCCAAACTAACATATATTACTGCATAGAACAAAACAAAAATAATCAAATGTGGAGATCTAACAGTGAATCAGCTAAGGAAACAAAAAAAAGGAAGAGAAAGATAGGTGAAAGAAGGAAAAGGGAACATGGAGGACCTCAATTAAATGAGTTCAAAAGAAAAAACCCATTTTTAAATAGACACAAAAACCAAAAAACCAACAAATAAAGAGGGACAGAAAATTGAGATCCAATTCAGATCATGTTCAACTTACCACTGAAAAACAGAAAAATAGCACCAGAAATAACCATTTTTCAATAAAAAGACAAAACGAAAGACTGTATCATCAAATGAGAGAGAGAGAGAGAGAGAGAGAGAGAGGGAGAGACTTACAGGGATGAGGTGAGCTTTCAAAGATTGCTTCAAAGATTGAGTATTATGTATGAAACTGAAACAGAGATTATATAGAGAATTGGGTTGAACCCAACAAAGATTTTAGAGAAGGGACTCTGATTTTAGAGGGATTTTAATGGGATCACAAGAAGGGTGTGGATTTGCAGACTGAAGAGGATGATGACAAAGATGATATTGGCCTCTCTCACGACCCCCTCCCGTATTTATATACAGCCAATGACCCCACACATGATTATCGACTACCTCCTCAACCCGTGTTTCTTAACCATGGTTAGTTTAGCATACTTAACCATGGTTACTTTCTATCATCTTCATTTTTTCTTTTTCTTTTTGGAGAAATTACAACAACAAAACCAACTTCATTATCTGCGGCTTGTAACAAAATAAATTTTCAATTTTTAATATAAATTATTGACTTATTTTCATTAAGTAAAACAGGTGAAAAAAGAATTTTTTAACTATTAAATTTTATTAAGTAAAACAGGTGAAAAAAGAATTTTTTAACTATTAAATTTTATATATATATATATATGTATAAGGATTAAAATATTATTTTTCGTTAAGTTTTTAATAACTAAAATATTTTTATTTTCATTAATTTTACTTAATAAAAACATATCAATAATTTAAATTAAAAATAAATTAAAATATTCAAATTTAAATTAATAAATAATGAAGTTGAAAATTGTTGAAGCGAAAACTGGCTTTAACAGATTTGAGCCGAATTGTTGAAGCGAATCAATAATTTTCATTAAGTCAAACCCTATCCTTTGTTTCCTTGTAAAAAACCCGTTTGCCAAAAACTGGCTTTAACAGATTTGAGCCGAATTGTTGAAGCGAATCAATAATTTTCTTTTTTTTTTTTTTTTTTTTTAATATTTCAGTAATTTTTAAAAACAAAATTATCTGTACTTAATTTAAATTATTAAAACTAAAATATGCTTCAAGGAGAAATTATTCCATGGTCTGAAATTCTGCATCAACATTTGCCCGGCCAATGCTAACAATACATGGAGAGAAAAAAAAGTCACAAAATATGAAGTAAACTTTGTCAATAACTATCAGATTCTTTAAAACTTCATCGGTTTCATATACTATACGTGACTTAATAATTTCTCTCGGTGAAGGATAAAAATGGTTTGATTTTGATTTCTAATACTAATAAGAACCGTGAAATGGTAGTTCAACAATTCTTTAGATCTTTAGAATTTGAAATTAAATTAAAAAAGATTTACTTTTTGATGCATTTAAATTAAGTACATTTGAGGAGAAAAATTAAAATATGATTTTTTTAATTAAAAAACGAAAAATACGAAAATAAAAAGTCAAACAGATTTAAATAACTAAACCTATTATGATCATCTTTAAATATAATTATTTGTTTATTACCTTATCTATGAATTCGTTTATAAATCTCGCTATTCAATTTTTTTATTATTTAAATTATCAAGATTCAAGCCAGTTTGTGTGCATCTATATTCGTTTATAAATCTTCCTATTTTTATTTTTATCTTTATAAAAGGTGTTTGCATCAGCTTGTGTAGACTAATTTAAAATCTGAAAGTCTTGAAGTTAATGATGAAGTTGGATCTTATTATCAAATTTTTATCACTTCGCCATTTTTTAAAAATTTTCTCGCTATTGTATTTATTATCAATACAATATTTACACATAAAATAATAAATAAAATATGATAGAAAAATCGTGTTGACATTATTAACCCCCCCTCCCTCCCCAAAAAAAAAAGAGGGGTTGAAGAAGATAATATTTGCGAAGGATTGCCTTGTAATGTCCGAACAGGCTTACCACATCACTAGGTTTGAAGGGATTAGGTCCAAATCTAGGAGCCAAACATTCTTATTTTACAAAATTGACTATTATTATTAGTAGATTATATATAATTCTTTCCACACTCAATAGTGGCGGAATTAAATTTTGAGTCAAAAGGTAGCAACACTAATTAAAGCTAATCGGCTGGATCTTGATTTTAATCTGTACCAAGAAATTAGTGATATGATTGCGAAGGATTGGTTGGCTAAACAAGGGCTTGTTTTGAAAAGTAGACTTTTAGTCACTTTTTTTTAATTTGTAACAAAAGTCAAAAGTTAATTTTTTTAAATTTTTTTTTATTTAGAAAGTTGGTTTTTAGCTAATAGAAAAATTACGATTCTACCCCTTATGGGTCAAAATGTTTTATATGGGTGAAATTATAAATATTTTAAACTAAATGGGAGTGGTTTAGTTATTTTATTATGATTTGACATTATAAACAAATATTAATAAAAAAGGTCAAAAGTCACTTTTTACTAACTTTCTAAACCATTTGTCTAAAAAAATCAAAAACTTGATTAAAAGTCAAAAAATTATTTTTTACCATCTTCCCAAAATAGGCCAAGTTAAGGTCAAAACCTTTGTCAGCAAATAAGCTCCAATTTTCATTTCTTCTCTCTTAGACAAGGATTGTCAGGGATAGGAACCCCTTGTTCTATAATGTAGTTTTGTTCTAGGCTTTGGTCCTAACACCCAAAAAAATAAAAATAAAAATAAAAATTAAAAAAAAGAAAAATTGCACTCATCTCACTTGAAGTTTGAAGCAAATATAATTAGTCTCAAATTTTTGTTATAATTACACTAATCTCCCTCAAGATTTTAACTTATATAACGTTTAGACCGTTTTTCATCATTAATTTGTTTAGTTGTATTAAGGTCAAAACCTTTGTCAGCAAATAAGCTCCAATTTTCATTTCTTCTCTCTTAGACAAGGATTGTCAGGGGATAGGAACCCCTTGTTCTATAATGTAGTTTTGTTCTAGGCTTTGGCCCTAACACCCAAAAAAATAAAAATAAAAATAAAAATTAAAAAAAAGAAAAATTGCACTCATCTCACTTGAAGTTTGAAGCAAATATAATTAGTCTCAAATTTTTGTTATAATTACACTAATCTCCCTCAAGATTTTAACTTATATAACGTTTAGACCGTTTTTCATCATTAATTTGTTTAGTTGTATAAATGAAAAAATTGATGTTATCATATATTTCATACTAAAAGGTATATTTTACTTTATTTATTTCAATGTCTACCCATTATTGCATTAATTTGGATCATTTTAAGGCCCTGTTTGTTTCTAGAGTTGGAGGATGGAATTGGGACCGATAATGATATGGGATTCAAAAAATTGTGTTTATTTTGGAAAATGGCCATGGGATTAAGAGTACCGTGGGACTATGAAAGGCCTCCAAGGAAGGGACTAGCAATCCCATAGGAGGGGTGGTATTGATATTTAATCACATGGGACGGGAGGTAAAAATACTATTTTGTCCCTCATTTTATAAAATTAATTTAATATAAAAAAATTTAATATTAAAATAAAATAGTATAATAATATATTTATACCCAAAAAAAAATATATCAACATAAAATAATATAGTACAAAAATATAATTTTTAATATTAAAATATATCAAAAACACCAAAGGGTGTTTATGGTATTTCATATAGTTAATACTCTCACTAAAATATATTACAAACAAACACAGTTTTTCTTAGTCCCCTGATAATATGGCTCTTGTAATATTAAACACGAATAATTGAATAAAATTTTATTGATAGTTGGATTCTTTAATATTTACAAAAAACTAAAAATAAAAAATAAAAAAAGAGAATAACATTGAGTAAAAATTTATTGATAGTTGGATTCATTAATATTAATAAATAAATAAAATTGAGTAAAAAAATTTTGATAATTGGATTCTTTAATATTTAAAAAAAGAAAAAGAAAAAAAGAAGAAGAATAACATTGAGTAAAAATTTATTTATTCTTTAGTTGGTATAAGTCCAAATTTGATAGAGAAAATTAATCTAAAGTCCCTCTTTCATTTTTAATAATGGAAGAGATGCACAATATTATTTTATGATGTCTAAGGTCCCTTAACCTCATGCCCATATATGACAGAGAAATTTGACTCTCTCAAATCAAATCTCTTGGAACCTCTTCGCTTCTTTCGAGTTCTCCACCCCCTTCCCGTAGTACCTCTTCCCTACAATCATCCTTGTCATGACATTGAAGGTGAGCTCGAAAAATGCCGATTGTTCACCACTTGATTTGGATTTACGGCGTGAGTCTATTGGTCCCCAAACTTTGCCTTAGAGACTGGGTTGTCAAATTACATGGTAATAAGTTCCCAACCCCAAAGTACCACCCTCCGGTGGTGGTGGTGGTAGTGGGTACACAAAAGAGTTGGCAAGCACCATTGGCACCAGTATTACATCCAAGCAACACTTCTTCCATTCCATCTCTCTCTCTCTCTCTGTGCAACTATTTGTATATTTTGCGTGAGTTAGCGCCTTTTTTTTTTAACGTCCTTTGCCTTCTTTGGACCTCTCTCTCTCTCTCTATATATATATATATATGTTTGCATGTATATATAGCGTAACAAGAATTTAATGTACATGGACTTGACTGAATGCAACATCCATCCTTGAAGAGCAGGAAGAAAGGATAGAGAGAAAGAGAGAAACAACCAAAAAAAAGTACAACTCCGTTTTCCCATTAATTAGAAACACAGGCCTAATTATGTGAGAGTTTTGTTTCTTTTTTGTCTCTCTTAGTCTCCAATATATGTGCCTCTAGAGTTTAGTAAATCAAAGAAAATTATAAGTAAATTAGAGAGAATTTCTCTAGCTTTGACCCCAAAAATTCTTTGGATTGAAACCAGAGAAATTCTCTAGATTGAAGAGAGTGACTTCCATGGATTCTTACCTGGAGATGATGAATATATATTCAGAGTATGGTGGCAGATTGGACTTGAATTTACTTAGATGGTTGTTGTTGTTGAATGTAGAGAAAATGGTAAATAAATTCATAGAAAATTATAAGTAAATCACAGAGAATTTATTTGGTTTGGAGAGAATTTCTCTAGTTATGGTTTGAAACCAAAGAAATTCTCTAGATTGAAGAGAGTGACTTCCATGGATTGTTACCTAGAGATGATGAATATATATGTAGAGTACAGTAGTAGATTGGACTTGGATTTACTTAAAGTTAGATGGTTGTTGTTGTTGAACAAAGAGAAAATAGTAAACAAATCAGAGAAAATTATAAGTAAATCAAAGAGAATTTCTCTGGTTTGGAACTGGATTGAATTTTTTTAAAATTAATTTGAGGGACCTTAGACTTTATGAAAAT